CTCGCGATCAAACGTTCTAGGTTGTGGGGCTCAAAACAGGATGCCAAGAAAGTTAACGGTGGAGAGAAGAACGAAGAACCCTCGCCGAAGCTTCAAATAATACCCCTTAGCGAGCGCTTCTGTACAAGCAAAGGGCGTTGAAAGTAGTGATCGGACGAGAACACCAGGCAGTGGAGCTGTGTTTGATATGGTTCCCGTAGCTTTTAGGTCTTCTAGTGTTATGGACGCGTTAAACGGTGGGTGGGGCCAAGGAAGTGAGTCGGACCAATGAGAGGGGCGACGGCATGAAGTAAAGGCCTTCTGGTGACGCCGTTGTTCCGCTTCTAGGTCTCTCCATTTGGAGTGATGAAAGTGACGATGAACGCCCGAGTGTAGAGATGAACGCTATTGACCTTGGCTAGCTGGATTACATCAGTTCCCCCGTCCGCTTGGAGACTTTCAGTCACCCATACCCTTCTAGGTCAGATGACGATATTTCGGGTAGCTTTATTTTTGAGGGGCATTTCTTGTCCTCCTTTTTAGCAATGACCTGGGTAGTTAGAAGACGTTCTGCCAAGAGTCCCGGAGTTTCGCCTGTGCTGTGTGGGGCACTTGTTTGAAGAGCATGTGAATGATTGAACGTCGGCTTGAAAGCGCTTGATACGCGCTTTACGAGCGCCGGCGTCAAATTGGCTTCCAGGGCCTAACGGCTGTAGCGCAGGCCTCAGAGGTTCTGGTTTTAAGCGGATATGGTATTCATGTTCGAGAGATCAAACTGTTCCCAACGTCGATGTTTCTGTAAGATTTGCCTAGGGGGAAAATTTCAGACAAATTGTGGCGTAAGTTTCGCTGAGCGGGGCAATAAAAGGTAGATACCTAGTATTAAGAAATGCGAGCTGACACGCAGGAAGAGTGACTTCGGAAAGTATGTATTCAATCTGTGTGTGAAATTTTTACAAGCAAACTACTAACATTTTCTCGCACACCTTTTGATATGTTTGGCTACGAGCTACAGTCGTTGCCGCTCCAGACCTGGTACGCGTCAGGGAGGCTGAACTTGGAGCGGCACCAGTCCGTTCTTCACCAATTATTGAAACCGGCTAACGGCAACAATTTGTGGAAGGCGGGCAAGTGCCGGACAAGTGCCGGATCAAACCCATCCCCTGACATACTCCATCGCCTGCAGCGGAAACTACACACTCGGTTTCACAAAGCGTGAATGTCCTCCTTGAACAAGTTTCAGTGAAAGACTTAGGAGAATTCAGACTCACTCCTGAGGGCTCAAACCGTGTTACCGTTGGAATAGCCAGAAAGAAAACTAATAGGCCCAACAATTTCATAGCAGACGGGTACTGTAGCAACTTTACATTATGCAAAATTCGAAGGCGGGTAACATTTTTATTGATTGAATGGCAGTCATACGATTCTTAAATTGTTTTAATAGTGCGCTCAGATTAATACCAATAGTTTTCAAAGTCACAAAGCTATTTCTTCGCAATACGTTGTGCTGCATCCTTCAAAATTTCATTTGCACTTGAATGGTATTTCTCCCGTTGTGTGAAGAACTGAATTTCGTCTATTATGACAAGTAAACAAACAAGAGTAGCGTCTTATATAGTAGGGCCTTATATATTGTATGATAGGCATGTCAACAATATCGACAAAATCTATCTATACTCACTTTCACTACCTCTCTTTGGTTAGTGTAAATAGTGATTGGTAGCTCATCAATGACCAATTGGATTTTGGAGGCCTGGATTAGAGGGCAGAATGAGAACTGTCGCGTTTAGTTGGAAACACAGTCCACGCCTGCCGTGTGGGCGGAGCCACCCATTGTTGTGTCTTCATGGGCGCACTCCTCTTCATTACGGTTACAGTGGCTAGGGAAGACGCGCCAATGGCACAATGCTGTGTCACTCCGTCCACATGATCAGCGCGAACGGCGTCCCGGGTGATTATGTACCTGATCGTTGAATGCTTTCACAGATTTGTGATATATCATTCCTTTCTCTTCTAAAATTTCCTTTGTCTTGGCGTTCTTTACCTGTAACACGTGGTGTGACATTAACAACTCTCCGCTTGTATAAGGGCTCAGTCCGAATTAGTGGGTACAACCCGTGCCCTGTATAACGTGTCTACGACTCGAAAGAGCGTGACAAGGGAGCTGGAAACTCGCACATTGAGGTTGTCTACACCTCCTTGGGGGTGAAAACACCAGTCAGGACACTTGCTCTCGCCGTGGAAAATTTTTCGCAATTATGACCCCCTAATTTCCTTCTCTGGTGCGCCCTCCGTCTCCTTGATCCTCTCTATCACCTTACTGAATTGCTCCACCTTAATGCCCTTTTCCGAAAATTTCCGAAGATTCACTCCATATTT